ATAAAATGTCAACAAGCAATATCTTACGAATCACAGAAAGCTGACGCACAGTTGCCTGACAGTACATCTTGTATCTTGCAGGTAGATTTCGCAGAAAACTATACTGTGCATTTTCAGGACGAGATCCAGTCAGTACACTGGAAACAAAAACAAATAACTGTGTACACGATTATGATTTGGCATCACTCTAAAATAATTTCAAAAATATTTGTCTCAGATTGTCGTGATCATGAAAAACATTCCGTCGCCACATATACTGCAAAAATTCTCAAGTTTATCAAACTGTCTTAACCCACAGTTGATACTGTGCAGATATGGACCGATGGAACAAGTAGTCAGTACAAAAGTAAATTTGTATTTATTCTGTCTATAAAATTGAAGGAGGTTTCTGATCTACAGCTACAGTGGAATTACTTTGCAACCAGTCATGGCAAAGGGTCAAATGATACACTAGGTAGCAATGCGAAGCAAATTGCCCATCATCAAGTGTTATCCTGAAAGTTCGTAATACGAGATGCTTTATCATTTGCTGCTGCTGTTAAATCTGTACTGAGCAATGTAAATGTTACTGTAGTTTTACCTAATGAAATTGAAACCAAATGCAATGAGCTGAATGCTGATCTTTTGTGGAGTAATGTACCGGCTGTTCCAGGTATACAAACTGTTCATTGTGTTATTCTGCAACAGAACAGTGTTAAGTGTAAGATCTACACAAATGCTGTGAATGTAAAACAACATGTTATGATTAAAACTACAACAGAAACTATCACTCCAGCTTCAACTTCTATAACACCTAACATGGATTTTATTTCTACGCCACCAACTGTGGATGCTGGTTCTATGCCACCGACTGTGAATGCTGTCAGTATTATTCCTAAAGCTTTGATTTCAAGACAATATTTCCAGTAATTTGCTAAGTAGTAATATAGTAAAATATAGTTATATTTTTTGGTAATTTCATCGCCTTAATTTAAGTCGCACTAACAAGTACTCATAGATATTAAAAACACAAATTTATATCTGGAAAGAACTTTGTAGATTGTGTGTTCCAAGGCAGATTTTATAATTATTAAATAATTCTTTAATATAAAGGAAGTTTTTGATTTGAACAAACATTGTACGTGTAATAGGTATGAATAAGGCATATGTTGTAAATAAAGATTCACCATTTTTTTATTTTTGTTGGTTTATCTTTAACTTTAAGATTACATTTCTCCTATCCATAACAATATGTAACTATAATTAGCGTGTTATATTATTAGTGGGAAGATAATTGCTGAAGAAGTTGCTGCAGTTCTTGTGAAAGACAGTGAACCAATGGATAATCCTATCGTTAGCAGTCGTGGTTTAAAGCGTACAAGACAAATTCCATCAAAATTTAATTAATCTTATATTTACAATAAAATAGTTAATTAATTAATTGAATGAATGCTAATTGTCTAATTTGATTAAGAATGGTTAACTGTTCTGTAGCCAAGTTATTGACTTGCTTTTTGAAATATTACTGTGAGTAGACAGTAAGTGTTTGTTAGTATGGGTAATAGGTGATTCCGTCACACCATTTATGTGATTCCGTCACACATACTTTATTATAAATATAGTATTATATACTAAATAATTTATAATTGTTTCTAATTATTTGCAAATGGTATGTATTTTAACTAGGGTTAGGACTATTGTTATTGTTATTGTAAAAATTAAATACAATAACAATTACAATACAATAATATTGAATTGCAATACCAGAGATGCAATTAAAACATTATTTATAGTTATTATATTCCTGTGAATAAAAACAGTTACAATAACTATTGTATTGTTTTTATTTTCTAACAATACATTGAAGCTCTGAAACTATTGTTTTGTATTGTTGTGATGTACAACAATTACATTAACTATTGTATTGTATTGCTGTGATGTAAAACATTTACAATAACTATTGTATTGTATTGCTGGAATAAAAAAAAATTACAATAAGTACATTGATGTATTGTATTACTATTTCAAAGTCTAATAGCTATTGTATTTTATAGTATTTAGACTCATTTTTCACGCATTTATTATTATTTGGGCACTAGATAATTTAGGGGTGCCTGTGACGCTCGTTTTAATCGGTAATTATCGATTAGATTGTCTAAAAATGTGAACTACTTTTGTTTTGTTAAAATTTTTTTTACATTTTCAGATTGTTCATCACCTATCAGACCGTACCAGTAAATTTTGTGTGGATCAATTTTGAAAAATGAGGCAGTTTAGAACACCAAATAAATATTGTTCTAGATTTATGTAACAAAACTCTTTTATAACTTTGCAACTAGATGTCCAGTTACTTTATGAAACACATATAGCCATAAAGCCGAAGGGAAACAAAAGACAAAGTTATATTAGAGTAAGTGTGAGTTGAGTAAGTTTCGAAACAATTGGATAGGTACCTAATGTAAAAGCAAATAACTTAGTGGAAAAAATGGTAGTAGTTAATCATGACTATCCCCAGCAGTAAAAGAAATACAGGTCTGATTAAACTCACTTTTATAGAGCTATACAAAGTTTAAAATAAAAAAGTAACAGAATCAATACTTACATATTAGTTGTACCCTATTTCAAGGTCACTTATCTCAGAGACTGGATTGTTTCTAAGACTATTTTTAGTCAGAAAAGCATTTTTTTTAAAAAAACTCTTAAGTTCCAAGTAATGCAAATTTCTTGCAAAATTTTAAATGCAAGTTTATCTACAAATAATAATTAATAAAAGACAACAAATATTCCTGTAATAAATGAAACATGGCACGTTTATTCTGGGTAAGTTATGTGCAGGAATATCAAAACACATATCAATAACAACTGTTTTTTAATAATTTGAATATAAAAAGTTTGAAAACTAAATAAGAAGCATCTTTATCTGAAATATAAGACCACCTTAGAAATCCTTGAGGTCTAGTTCTGCCATCATTTTATGAAGTTATAACTTACATTTGATAATTTTTTTTTTAACAGTTTAAGTGATGAGAGTGTGGATACAAATATATTGTATCTACATTACAACTTCATTTATTACCAAATTACCAAACTGTTGCTGCTATTTAAACAGATCTTCTCTTTTATGTTTATATTTATTGTTCCAGATACTGCCAGTTTATAGTTTCTGGTGCACTCTTTAAAATGCCATTTCCTCTTTATTTAATATTATATTAGTAGAAACATTAAAGATATTCTAGTGGGCTAAAGGTGTGTTTAAGGCATCTAAAAAGCGGATTAAATTATTTAATACAAACTTTAAACAGCTAAAGCATGTCATGTACCCACTGGGATTAAACAGTTTATTACACTGTATACTGCACAAATTGAGGCATATTAAAACTTGTTTTGAATTCAATGAAATGATGTATTTAGTTATTTATTAGAGCAATAAAAAAACTTGTTACATTTTAGACAATCTTTTCAACTAAAACATTTTAAAAATAAAAATATTGCAAACAATGTCATAAAAAATAACCTTTTTAATTTTTAGTTAAAAATTATTGTTTTTTTTTATATAAAGTTTAAGCAACTCATTTTTATTTGAAACCACTATTATTTCTGAAATCTCTATGAAATTCTGGTTTTTTAATCATTTTTTAACAAAACAAAAAAAAAAGTACATGTTTTTTAATTTTTTTTTTTAATAAACTTTTTAATTTGTGTTTCCATAAATTATTTTTATTATTTTTAAAATTTTTATAAAATTTCACTTCTTTCGAGACCCAACATGATATACTTTTGAAGAACTTTTTTTTTCAAAATATTAGGGACCCATTTGATGTTTAAGGGTGTTGAGTGACCCTTAAAATTTTTTTTTATTTGAAATTTTTTTGATTTAGTGTTAATTTATTACATAGAACACATTTAGGGGTTGGAAGCAGACAATTTCAAAAAAAGCTGTTTTTATTAGCACTCTAATTTATATATATATATATATATATATATATATATATATATATATATATATATATATATATATATATATATATATATATATATATATATATATATATATATATATATATATATATATATATATATATATATATATATATATATATATATATATATATATATATATATATATATATATCTGTGTGTGTGTGTGTGTGTGTGTGTGTATAAGGGTGGTCCTTAAAACAACTTTTTTTTTTAAATGTCTGCTCTCACCATCTAAATGTTTTATATATAAAAAATATTATTCAAATTAAAAAATTTCTGAAAAAAAAAATTTTTAGGGGACACTTAAACATCAGACAGGTTCCTACAATTATCAAAAAATAGATTGTCAAAAGTATATTATTAGTATAAATATATCATATTGGGTCTCAAAATATAATAAATATTGGGTCTTAGTATATAATAAGTATAAATGGTATATCATGTTGGGTTTCAAAATAAGCAAAATTATATAAATTTTTAAAAAATAACCATCATTTTATAAAAAAAAACATAGCTAAAAAAAATTATAATTATAAAATCTATTTTTATTCCCTTGTTAAATTCCCTATTTTTTTTTTTTAGTTGAAAAATGTCATTTTCTGTTCAGTAAAATTTAAAATAATAATTTTTTTATATAAAGATGAATATTTTTGAAGTTTTTTATATAATTTCACTTCTTTTGAGACTTAACAACAACAGAACATGCTTTTAAAAAAATTTTTTCTTATTAATATTAACCCATTAAATGTTCAAGGGTTTTGGGGCACCACTCAAAATAATTTTTATTCAAAAAAAATTTAAACCCAGTGTTATTTTATTATATATAAAAAATTATTTTATTATATAAAAAATTTAATTCATAAAAGCTTTTACTCTTATTTCACAATGAACTTAGAAAAATATAATATTATCCTGATGATGACTTTAACATTAAATAAAAAAGTATTTATCAGACTTATACTTAAGTATAAGTCTGATAATAACTTCAACATTATCTAAAATAAATTTTATGAAATAAATAAGAATAAATACAAAAGAATTAATAGACTAAATAAATTTATTGAAAAAACCTTTTCTTCTAACTCTGTAATATATTTTTCTAACTGGTCAATGTGTTCCACTTGATGCTTTAACTAAAGTGAAAAAAAAAAAATATTATGATTTGCAAATAATTTCATTTATTTCTATTTTTATTATGTACATGCATACTATTTTAGATTGTAGTCCTAAAATATTAAAAAAAAAATATTATGTACACTTGACTTTTTTTTGACAAAACAAAAAAACAAACAAAACTATCAAAAAGTTTAGCATTCTTTCATACAGAGAGTGTGTTGGGCCAAAATCAAACCCTTGCTTTAATGTAATAAAGGTTAGCAGATGACAAAGATAACTGCAGATGACAGTATTGAATATAAGATGAATTCAGTATGAGGCAACCAGTGTTTTATATACAGCATAACCTGTATATTTTTTCTAGATAATTTTAATTATTTTTTATTATTTGTTAATTTAAATATTTTATCTGAAAGGATCTTAAAAGATCTTATTTACTCCTGTACAAAACCAAGGTTATTTAAATTCTATAGCATAAAATACTTCTTATAAGCAAGCTGTAAATGATCAACTTACAATTAAAGATTGTTGTGCAAAATTTATATTTAAAACAAAGTGCTTATGAATTGCATTTGTACTAGGTATGTCTTGTATGCTTCTCATACCATGCCATGTATTCACACAATACTCTCTTGCTATTGTCTTTGTCAAATACAACAGAAGACTAGTATTACAGTACTCAGCACACAGTGAAAATGTTCAAAGTTTAAAGTTCATTTTTGTCCTACACCTCTTGAAGTATCATGCTCAAACTGTTTCTTTATGCAGTGGCCGTGATTAACATTTAAGTTTCAAAGTTTCCAAAAGTTTGACATTTTTTGAACATTTTTAGCAGTTAAAGAACATTCTTAAAAACTATTCAGTATTAAACACAAATAGAATTTTCTCAAAAACAGACAATCAATTAGACAATTATTTCAAAATACTATCTCCCTGATAGTAAAAACAAACATCTTCCTGATAACAAAAACAAATTTGTTGGAGGACAATAGCAATCTAACAATTTTAGTTGTTTTAGGCATAATAGGTTAGAAAATCTTTGTACCATAAAAACAAAAAATTTTTTTATGTTGTGTGATTACAAGATCTAAGTATCTTGTATCTTGTGATAATTTTTTGACTAATGTCTACAAAACTAGGATCTAGAATATGATCTACAAAATAGAATGATCTACTTATCACCAATATTTTTACTCTTTTTTTAAAATATATTTTTAATCATTTTTTAATATATTTTATTATTGCTTTTATACATATATATTTTTTAATTTTATTTTCACCTTTTCTACTTCATAATCTAAAATTTATTCTTCTATATTTATTAATTCTCTAAACTGTAAACCTTTAAACTTATTTTTGCTTTTTCTTTTAAACTTTATTCTTCAACTTCTTTTTTAAACCTTATTCTTTAGCTTCAACTTTTTATTCTTCTACTTTTAAACTTTTAATTTAACAACTTTAATTATATTGAAACAGAGTTCTCTATTTCACATGTAATAGTTTTTAAACTGATTTAAATAACCACCAATTCAGATTTATTTGAACAAATCCAAATGGGCTGTAACCACTATTTAAAATAATAAAATAAGAGCTGTAAGGAAGTAAAAAAGATGGCTGAACTTCAAAAAAGAAGAATAGTTGAATAACAGAGGAAAAATAAATGAGTACCAACACTAGTGAGTTCAAAGTACTTAGCAGTAAAAAGATATCTACACTAGTGAGTTCAAAGTATTTAGCAGTAAAAAGATACCTACACTAGTGAGTTCAAAGTATTTAGCAGTAAAAAGATACTTAAATATAAAGATTATTGAAAGTAATAAAAAAAAATTTTTATCTGATATTTGTTACTTTTATTCATTTGTTGAGAGAATATAAAAAAAAGAAGTATAAACAGTTTAACACTATGGCCATTATCAAAATTTATTAAAACAAAATTTATACGAAAAACTTTATAATTGAACTTGTAGTTACTAACTAGTAGTTATTCACAGAGTTTGCAAAATAATCTAATACGGTGGAAAATGATAAACTATAAGATTTTTTGAGTCAGGTAATCTACCGTATTTAAACTCAGAGTGCAGCTCCTGTTACTTTCCTTATGGAATCAGAAAATATTTTTGAAAGTCTGGGAGTTGAGAGTCTTTGCAATATAAAGGAATGGAAAATTTTAAACACAGTAACCATTCTGATGGTCTTGATCAGATACTTTTGGTAATGATAAAATCATCACTGATCTGCAGATATAATGAGAATTTCAACTAAAAAAATTATATTACTAAAGAAAATTATTTAAAATTTTATATAAATATTTAAATTTATTAAAATTATAAATCCATACTAATGAAAAAATAAAAAGTGAAAACTTCAAATAACAACTATAAAAATTGCTAGTTTTTAACAATTACCATAAAATTTGCTTACTTGTTGGAAATTGTCAAATGTGTCAAAATACCACATTTTCTTTATGTTTATTTTTCTTTATGTTTATTTGTTTCAAATCAACTACCATTTAAAATAAAAAGGAAAAAGAAAAAAAATTAGCAAATATTTTACTTCCTCATGTATAATGAATTTATGTTTTTTGTGTTGTGTGCCCAATACATTTACTTCAATATGTATATTTGTTTCTTCGCACAAGGACATTGTTTGTCAAGGCTCATGTTTTGTAGTTAAAAAGTTGAGAGAGTGTTGTAACATAATTGATAAAATGGAGTAGCCTTTTTGTACTCCTTTTTGTACCCCTTCAGCTTTGTGGATACAATACAAGAAAAAGAAAAAATGTATAAGGAAACTTCCACAAAAAACAACAGTTTATTTGAATTTTATTTGACAAATAAATCATTTCAGAAGTTTTTCCATTATGAAATCAAGAAGCAGTCAATTATTACAGTTGAGTGAAAATCCACCATTTTTAAAACTTCTTAAAACTCTATGTTTTTGTAAATATTACATTCAATAAACAAGTTAACGTCTTTACAATTATAAAAGTTTTTCGTATAAATTTTTTTGCTTCGTTAAAAAAGTTTGAAACTTAAATTGAATAAACTAAATCAAAAAATACGTAAAAAGTCACAAGTATTTAAATACTTTATATTTTTGAGAGTAAAAAATCCAGGGAAGACTAATCACCTGCATAAGTTCTCCTTTCTTTTATTTTTTTTTAAAAAAAGAAGAACATTCTTTATAAAAGCTTGTTTAAGTTATTAATAAGTAAAAATAATTATTTTTTTTAATGCTGCTTGTAAAACCATACAAAACAAGCTTGTAACAGATTTAACTAGCGATTTTGTAAAAAGAGCCATTATTAGGTTTTTTTAAAAATAACTTTTTATTAGTGTCAATTAAATGGTTTTTAAATATTTTATGGAAAAACATCTAGAAAATGGTAAACTAATAATATATTACATACAAATTAATTGAAACATACTCTATCAATTGTGTATTCTTTTAAAGTTATCATTTTGAGTTTGAAACTAACTAAATGGCCAAAGGAAAACTTGGTTAATCTTGATTAATCTCTATTTTTATGTGTTTACAATTGCTCTCCTCAACTGTTATGAATAAGGATTCATAAACACAATTCCTAATGAAAAAACATGCCGCCATTTCAAACATGAAAAAGACTTGTAACTACTAAAATTGACATCATAGAACATTTAATTTGAAATGATTTTTATGTTGTCTGTCATATAACATGCAACTTTTGATGTTTCCTCTCATATAACATATGACATGTTTCAAAAATTTTGCTACATGAATTCATGTTTAATAATTAATCAAGTATATACTTGTTAAAAGTTTAAATAATTCAGGAACTTGTGAATAAACCTGCTGTCACAACTTGTTGTACCTTCTTGCTATGATATTTTATTATATGTTTCATAGCAAGATTTGTTTAAATTATAATATTTATTATGATATTTTTAAAAAGTTATATTTAAATATACAAATATAAAAAAAATACATAGATACTAGGATAACTATAAATAATTGAAGTTACTTTCTCAGCTTTTCAAAACTTTGTTAATATAAAAATGAATTATTAAATAAGTTTATTTAATGTGGCACAATACCTTTTATTGAGTTTCAACTAATTGAGTACTAAATATAACTAACTAATTGCAAACAGCAAAAAAAGTAAAACTAAATTCCTACACAAAATTAAATAAAAATTAATAATTAAAAAAAAAAGAAAAATTGTTAACAGAATTCTTTATAAAAAGTTTGTTAAAAAATATATAGTACTTATCAAAAATATTGTACTCTACCCTCAAACCTCTTTAGTTTTAACCACTTTGTATTAAAAATATTGTACTCTATCCTCAAACTGCTTATGTTTAACCACTTTGTATTAAAAAAAATAACTACAATAATAATTTAATCAAAAATAACTTTAACAAAAATAACAACTTTAATAGAACTTTAATAGATAGTAAATATATATATATAAAAAATAAAAAATATTTGAAAACTAATGTCAGGATAGAAAACTGCTTAAAAAGAAAGAAAACTGTTATTGAAATTTTTTTTTGGCGCAATAGATGTCCTTCATATCTAGATGATACCTGTCAAAAATGAAACTCTAAGTTAATGTAAGCACTGAAGCCCTAGCAGATGGATAATTTTTTGTATATATTTTTCACAATATAAGTTTTTAAACGCCAATTTAAGCCCAGACAGTTTTTAACAAATAAAAAAATTTTCTTTTATCACAATAGAATTACTTTATATGTAGATAGTATCTGCTCAAACCCAATATAAAAACCAATATAAAATTAGTATACCACAATAAAAATATTTTAATATTTTTATTCTTATACTGTAACAATATTACTACAACAAGGAAGACTACTGCAACAAGGAGAATTACTGCAACAAGGAAGATTACTGCAACAAAGAGGATTACTGCAACAAGGAAGATTATTATAACAAGGAGGATTACTGCAACAAGGAAGATTACTGCAACAAGGAAGGTTACTGCAACAAGGAAGATTACTGCAACAAGGAAGATTACTGCAACAAGGAGGATTACTGCAACAAGGAAGATTACTGCAACAAGGAGGATTACTGCAACAAGGAAGATTACTACAACAAGGAGGATTACTGCAACAAGGAAGATTACTGCAACAAGGAAGATTACTGCAACAAGGAAGACTACTGCAACAAGAAAGATTACTGCAACAAGGAAGACTACTGCAACAAGGAAGATTACTACAACAAGGAAGATTACTACAACAAGGAAGATTACTGCAACAAGGAAGACTACTGCAACAAGGAGGATTACTGCAACAAGGAAGATTACTGCAACAAGGAAGATTACTGCAATAAGGAAGATTACTGCAACAAGGAAGACTACTGCAACAAGAAAGATTACTGCAACAAGGAAGACTACTGCAACAAGGAAGATTACTACAACAAGGAGGATTACTACAACAAGGAAGATTACTGCAACAAGGAAGACTACTGCAACAAGGAGGATTACTGCAACAAGGAAGATTACTGCAATAAGGAGGATTACTGCAACAAGGAAGATTAATGCAACAAGGAAGATTAATGCAACAAGGAAGATTACTGCAACAAGGGAGATTACTGCAACAAGGAAGACTACTGCAACAAGGAAGATTACTGCAACAGTTTCAACAGCTTTTCATAACACAAGCCATTGTACTTTAAGAAGGTTTGTTATTTTAGCATGCTGAAATAAAATTATTTATGTTTTATCATTAAAATAGGTTATAATATAGCTATGAAAACTGAACTTACTAAACTCTCCACATTTTCAGTAGATGACTGTTTCTGATCATCTACATCAATTTCATCAGATAATTTCTGTTCGTCTTCAACTTCATTTGATTTTTTTATCTCACCTCCATTATCATTTACTCCATCATCTCCATTATAATTTTCCTGAGGAACTTGAGAAATTGTGGTCTAAAACATTTTAAATTCTAAATTGTTTTTATCATTATTACCATAAGATCAAAAAGATCAAATAAATACAAAAAGTTTAATATATTTACTTCTTTATTTATTAAGTAAATGAAGGAAAATTATTAACCTCAAGAGAATTTTCTTCTAGGGTTGCTTCTAGAGTAAGAAGTTTATTTCTGTACTCCATATTTTGTTGCTCGCACACTTTCATGTCCTTTCGTAAATTAACAATAATTTCTCCTTGAAATCGAACCTGATAATATAAAAATACTTTTTTTAATTACTTTTAGTAGCTTTTACATTTTTTCAAAATTCCTTATACTCAAATTACCTATGTAATATCTTATATTGTAAATATCTTATGCCTAAGTATACCTTATATTGTAAATATCTTATACCCAAGTATATCATTTATTGTAAATATCTTATACCCAAGTATATCTTCGAAATAAAATATATCTTCCAAATAAAATTTTTTAAATACAGAGAAATAGAAAAAAAGATTGAAATAAATAGTGGTGGAAAGATAAGGTGTTAGTATTTTTTTTATCATATTATTACTTTTGATGCTCACTTCCCCAACGTTAAAGGGCTACTACAGTCAAGAAGGCTTTATTATTATTATTTTTTTTTTAAATTGTAGTAACCAGTCTTTTTTAACTCTATAACATGAAGCTTTACAACCAAGGTTGTAAACACAATAATAAAAAAAGAGTCAAACTCAACTCGCACAACTTGTCTCTCTGTTAAGAGAACCTTTACAAAGAGACAAGTTAAGTGCAATACTACCAGGGATGTGAAAAGGATCAAACTCAGAGCTTCTTGCTTACAAAGTGAGTGTTTTACCACTACTATATCATCTCAGATTTTTATTTCAGTGATGCAACTAGGGAAGAATAAAGTTGGTCAAGATAAAGGTGGATCAAGAAAAGAATCAAGTATGAAGGGCAAACTTTGAAGTAGGTTAAGATCAAAGAATCATTTATAATTATAACAGCAAAAACTGTACCATCAAAGAGTTATACATCACATGTGTCCATAGTGTTATGATGTATGACAATGAAACATTTGCAATAAAAGTTGATGTTTGGAAAAAAAAGTGAAAAAAAGAAAAAAAAAGAATTCTTAATAACTTTAAGTATTAATATTTTCTTTTTTTGGGAAACTAATCTTGTCAATAGAATAAAAAAATAATCAAAATTTAAAATCACATTTACACAAACATTATGATAAAAAATGTTGACAAAAGTAAATTGTTTGTAGCAAACCAATTCTTGGTTGAAGATTACTCCTTTATAGAGATTTCTGACCTTAAGAATCAGAAAAATAACTTAAAAGACAAAAAGGACAAATAATCTTCATTACTGCTTCAAAACAAAAGTGCTCAAAAATGTGCGATAGCAAAGTGAAGAGCTTGCTTAAAAAGTTCACAAAACCATTTCAAGAATGAGAAATGTGAGGAAACCTTTTTTAGATAAAAATAAAAACAAAAAAACACAAAAAAGCACAAACAAATACATAAGAATTAATTGCGTAAATTTTGTAATGATTACAAAATTACAAAAAACTTTATTAGTAATGTAGAGATACATTACATTAGGCAACTAGCTCCTCACCAATAGTGACTTGTATTATTCAAATGAACCAACATAGACACTTGATTATGCTAACATAAGAACAAAGCCAAATTTATAATGAAAATTACTATTTTGAATTGCTATTTTAGAAAATAGTGTGAATATAATTATTCGACTAAGTAGAATCAACATAGAGGTTTCTCAGCATAGAAAATTTGTTTGCCAAGGTTCGTGCTTCAGAGTTAAAGAGTCAAGAGAGAGTTGTAACCACAATAAAGTAGCCTCCTTGACTGTAATGGCCTTCTTGGCTTTGGGAAGGTAAAATTTTAAAAAGTGTACCGAAATAAGTGCATAATTAAGTGGTTAGTACATTCACAAACAACACAGAATAATAAATTTATATTTTGACTTAATTTTAGGGGAATTTTAGACAAGAATTATATATGGTTGGCTGGACTGCTCATAATGTTGAGAGAGAGAAAAAAAAATGTCAATGTTAAAAAAAAAAAAAGCTTTAACAACTAAAAACAAATTTTATGATGTTACTTAAAGTTCAAATGTGTTAAAAACTTTTTTATATTATCTTTACTGACACTTGTAGTTTTTACAACTTTTTTTTTTTTAATTAACAATTTTTGGCAAGTTTATATTAAAAAAACAGTTCTACCAATTTTTATTTGACATATGTTGATTAAAACAACTTTTAACCTGCTTTACAGTATCTTCAAACTTAATTTTACATTCTAAAAGTTCATCCCGTAATTTAGATGCTACATCATACTGATTTGCTACCTAAAACCAATAAAGATATTTACATCACCAATAATGAGATCATATGCATAATATTAACTAACAATGATATTTCAGGAAACAAGTGAAACCTCAGCAGTCATTATTTTTCGCTCATCCTCAAGCTGCAGTTTTAACTCACTAATACTTTTCTGTAACGCTAATTTCTAAAAAAAAATTAAATAAAAAACTGTTTAACCAAACATTTGAATTCAGCAAAGAGTTAATTAGGTTGTCACAGTGTTAGCCAGGAACATATATTTTATCGCATTTTAATGATATTGGGAACATTTATTGTTTTACAAATTATTAGGAATTTTTATTAAAATGTCCTATTCCTTCAACAAAAAAAAAGGTCATTGAATTTTGGAAAATTTAAACTGATTGGGAATTCTGTGTTATACTCGGTGCCATTGGGCTGACTAACACCCTAGTTGTTATAAAATTATCAATCTGAAATATTTTTAAGCAATTTAGTCAAAAGAGTTTATTATATCTATCAAAATTTAAAAAAAAATTAAAGAAAAGTAACAAAGATTAAAAGAAATATTTCACAAAACTATTTTTATAAACTAAAATTTAATAAAATTAATTCAAGTGTTTTTTTTTCAAGTATTTTAAGTAACTGAAAATTGAAAATTAAATTCTAGTTTTAAAATCTAAACGTGTCTTAAAATACTAGTTCTCATATTATATCACTTTAGTATAATTTCAACTTCTGTATCATTTTATATTATCCAATGAAATACAATCTAGTTAAAATTTCATCCAATGAAATACAATCTAGTTAAAATTTTTAAAACAACATCATTATTATAGTAACAAAAGTCTTTTTTTTTTTTTTTTTTTTTGTAATTATTTCCAGATTTATTTTTAAATATAATATGAGGAGAAATAAGTCACATTTCATAGTATATAGTTGGTAGCAAAAGTTTGTCAGCTGAGAACCAGGAGGTTGTATGTCCACATTTAGTGTTTTTTCTGTTTATTATCAAAAAAATGTTCATTAAAGGGTGAAGCATGTATCCACTAAACCTGGTGTCAAAAAAAAAAAAACTTTAGGAAATACATACATAATCAGTAGGACTTTCTGGCACTAAGTCTAACATGCTAAAATCTAAAACTTGATTTTCTCAAAAACACAAAAAAAACATTGTCTTTTGGTTTTTGGCTGACAAGTTGTTTTTTCCTTTATAGGTGAGCCAGTACAACATCTTTTAACTTCACCTCCATAAAATGCTGTCAAATAACTTTTTCTATAAGATTTGTACCACTGATTCAAAGATAAAAGTGACTGCAGAAATCCATTGATTAAATAAAGATTTCATTAAACTTTCCCATACTTTTTTACCTCACAGATAATCCATTCTTTAACTTCAAAAAGATTATAATTATATTTCTAGTTTTTGGTATTAGGAGCTTTAAAAACATATAAAAGTTTATGGGCTGCTAATGGGGGAAAAATCAAGACTTTTAGGTCAGAAGAACAATCGATTTTTAAACCCGGAGTACTTAGGTATAATGGCAGCAAGGACTCCGGGACTCCAAGACTCTGGGCTTAAAAACAACAAGTTCCAAGTCATTAAATATCATAAATTTTTTTCTTATAAAAGACCAATCAACCAACATGTTTAGAGCTTCTGGACACCAGAGACCATTAAAAAATAAAGTTATAAAGCCGAAGTCCTTTTGGATATCCGCATCCCTGCTTCCAAATATCCAAAAACCAAAAATTAATATTTTTCAGACATAGCACAGATGTCCTTAATCAATTTTTTTGTCACATTAACTTTTTTTTGCTAGACATTTTTCTACTTGGAAAGTTTCAAACTATATACTTTTTTTACTAATTACTGTTTTTTTTTTTTTTTTACTAATTACTGTTAAATCAAAAAACTATTTTAAACTTTTGTTACAAAACTTTTTGATGTTACCCCCTGTCAACCTTATAATTGCAAAACACCCTGTCAACCTTATAATTGCAAAACACCCTGTCAACCTTATAATTGCAAAACACCCTGTCAACCTTATAATTGCAAAACACCCTGTCAACCTTATAATTGCAAAACACCCTGTCAACCTTATAATTGCAAAACACCCTGTCAACCTTATAATTGCAAAACACCCTGTCAACCTTATAATTGCAAAACACCCTGTCAACCTTATAATTGCAAAACACCCTGTCAACCTTATAATTGCAAAACACCCTGTCAACCTTATAATTGCAAAACACCCTGTCAACCTTATAATTGCAAAACACCCTGTCAACCTTATAATTGCAAAACACCCTGTCAACCTTATAATTGCAAAACACCCTGTCAACCTTATAATTGCAAAACACCCTGTCAACCTTATAATTGCAAAACACCCTGTCAACCTTATAATTGCAAAACACCCTGTCAACCTTATAATTGCAAAACACCCTGTCAACCTTATAATTGCAAAACAGTAACCTTGAAAAACAAGACGGCTGCATGGAGAAACAAGTTAAATGTAGTAACAGGGATGTGCTACATTTAATAGATCCCTACCACATCCACTACCAGGGCTCTAACTTTATATTTCTTGCTTAAAAAGTAAACACTCTACCACTACACCACTATGCATACAAGTACCTGTTTAAAAAAACTTACTGCATCACAATTCCAATATATTAGTAGTCGTATGATAGTAATGCACTTTGATCAAAAGCTAGAGATTATTTAAGAATTAAGATTAAGATTAAGATTTATTATTTAATTTATAATTTAATTAAATAAAGAATTTATTAATTAATTTAATTAAGATTAAGAATTTATTACTCATTATATTCCTGGTCACATTCACTGCATTTAAATTCTTTTTCTGGGTCTGTGTTTTGTTGTTAAATTTTAGTAAAATAGAGTAAATAACTAATTTTAAAGTTAAATTTAAAATTAGTTATTTACTCAAATGTAGTGATCCATTTGGCTTTAGGAAAGTAAATATGTAAAAAAAAGAAAAAGAAAAAAATCACTTTATAATTATAAATTTTATGTCAAGTCAATTTTAATTCATATTTACTTCATTAGCCATAGTTTTTTGCTCATCATCATGTTGTAACTTTAGCTCATTGATATTCTTTTCTAACATGGATATCTAAAGAAAATTTTTTTTTTTTACTAACTTGTTACTTGAGTTAATTTGCTACTTGTTACTAATTTACTATTTGAGTAACTTTTATAAACAAATCTTTATTTAATTTAATTTCACCAAATTTTTTGTTGTCACTTTAAATCTATAATTATAAAACAAAATTTTCTTTGTGTGAGTGTGTTTATATATATATATATATATATATATATATATATATATATATATATATATATATATATATATATATATATATATATATATATATATATATATATATATATATATATATATATATTAGGGTGGAGTGAAAACATGAAAAAATTTTTTTTTTGATTTGCTTGACTTTGGATAGTTATTAAAACTTGCTCTGTGATACAACCAATTACTCCATAAAAAAAATAATTAATTTAGGTAACGCCTTGAGGTTCCACAACCAACTTCAAAATTTAACCATTTATAAGCATTTACTATCCGGTATTTTTTTATTGTAGTTCACTTTTATACGTATTCATGTGCGTTTTTCCTGTCTAGAGTAAACAAACAGCGTTTATTGCAAAACATTTTATTCATATAAGATAATACTTTAATTCATTTATAATAACAATTCATATTTAATGCCTGTAACCAGGAAAAAAGTATCTTGTGTCATTTTTGATGCTCCCTCTGAAATGCCTGACAATCAACTACCTACTTATGCAGACGTTATGAAGTTTTACAATCTGACAAAACAGAAACTTAAATATGAATTGAACAATAAAGATCCACCACATCACAATGTGGCAGAAATAGTGACAACAAAAGTGGAACAAATATGGGACAAAGCTTCTATACCACATGTAAGCCACGGCCGTGTCCAAGAAATGTTGAACAAGTACCACAAGACGTTCATGAATTTGTTGAAGCCATATAAGTCTAGAAAAGACTCCGGACCATACCGAGAGAAAATATCTCAGTTTAAAAATGAATCCAAAAAACTCTTTGACATTTGCTCCTGCAAGTGTTCTTTCATATCTCAGTGTCAGTGTGAAAAGTCAAGAAAGATACCCGCAATTGAACGTGATTTTCTAGAAGATCAGCGGGGTCCACGAGGTATGATCATTGCTAAAGTTGATGAGGCCGAATCCATCAAATTGCAAAAACGATATATTCGTAAAGAGTTGACGCAGAGGCAGATGTGCAGCAAATCTGACATTGATGACATCAGTGAGAAACAGTCAGATGTTTGTGAGGAGTTTTCTTTTACGGAAGAGAAAACTGATGCTAGCGATGACGAATCTGATGACGATTGTATGCCGGATCCTAATGAACAATTTAGAAAGTTGAGTGACAAGCAAATGAGAGTTAAGTTACCATCTCTGGCATTAGCATGTGATCGACATGGTGTATCCGACAGGGCCGCAGCAGGAATTGCCAGTGCTGTTCTTCAAGATGTTGGAATAATCCACGAAAGAGATGTTTCTAAAGTGATTGACAGAAGTAAAGTGCGACGAGAGCGTTGTAAAAAACGTGGAACATTATGTGCCAATGTCAGTAACACAATCACTGGGCTATATTTTGATGGAAGAAAAGACAGTACAATAACCCTTATTAAAGAATGTGATGGGAAATTTCATCGAAAACTAACAACTGAAAAACATATGTCCATTATATCCGAACCAGGATCCATCTATTTTGGCTACATTACACCAATTGCAGGGTCAAGCAAAGTTATTGCGGCTGAGTTGATTGCGTATTTGAGTAAAATGAATGTTGACCTGGGTGGTATAAAAGCTGTAGGTTGTGACGGAACCGTTGCTAATACAGGCAATCGAGGAGGTATCATTCAATTACTTGAAGTAATGTTGAACAAACCGCTGCAATGGTTCGTATGTCAGCTACATGCTAACGAATTACTGTTAAGGCATTTGTTCGAACATCTAGATGGACCTACTAATGGTCCAAAAGGATTTTCCGGTCCAATCGGAAAATCATTGGTGGCATGTGAGAAGCTTCCCGTTGTCAAATACACACCCATAAACTGTGTTCTACCGACAGGTTTAAATTCTTATGATTTAAGTACAGATCAAAAATATCTGTTTGACTTGTGCACCGCTGTCAGTGTTGGCGTTTGTCCTGTAGGCCTTTCACTTCGCAATCCTGGTGTTATCAATCATTCAAGATGGTTAACAACGGCTAATCGAATACTACGCCTGTATATAGCCACAAGATGCCCATCGGATGAACTGAAGACAATGGTTACCTTCATCGTAACAGTTTATGCACCAGCATGGTTTGAAATAAAAAATACTTCTTCATGTAAAGATGGCGCTCGACATGTCCATAATACAATACTGAAATCACGCTACCTCACAGACGAGCTGAAGAAAGTTGTTGATCCAGTAATTCAACGCAACGCATTTTTTACTCATCCAGAAAACCTGTTGCTTGCGATGCTTACCGACGAAAAATCAGAAATACGCGAGTTGGCTCTGAGACGTATAATGAAATCCAGGAAGCAGAAGCGCACGAGTTCAGTTAGATCTTTCTGTGTGCCAGTAATCAATTTTGAAGCTACCAGTTACATAGACATGATCGATTGGCAAAAAACTCCAATCACAGAGCTCCAATCGTAATGGACATTGATGACGATACTTTTTTAACCATGATCCGGGAAGAAGATACACCAACACTGGATTTCGCACGCTATCCTTGTCACACTCAGTCGGTGGAGAGGCATATTAAGCTAGGTACAGAAGCTTCCCAAGCGGTTTGCGGTCCAGAAAAACACAACGGATTCATAAGAGCACGTTTGGAATCGAGATCAAAAATGCCGAAACTGAACACTAAAGCACAACATCATTTGTAGCTATAAAAACATGTTTGACTAGAGTTTTCATGTGTTTTTCTTTTCAAATATTTAGTTCTATTTACTTGTAACTTTCGTATAGACTGTTGAAAATGTATACTGCTACACAAATATGTTGTCATATATAAACTTGAAATTTCAAAAAATATTGTTTTTTATTTGAAATATGGCTATAATTCAGGTCAATTGTGGAACCTCAAGATATGCTTTAAATCGTTTGATTGTAATTTATATTTAACTAAAAATCTGCTGTCTTAGGGCTCTGATGGTGTCTCAATAAAAATACTCATCTTGGGCAGATGTTAACTGCATCCAGCTACTGTCTTGTAGGAGGCCTCCTAGACAAAGAGGTAAGCAAAATAAATTTGCTAACTAGCCTCAAATCCCTTCTTCATCGATTAGGCTGCTGTAGATGTAAACCTGTGTTACATTGTTTCCTGCCTAGGATGATGAATGCTGGATTCTTCTTGACTCTACTCATAGGTTTTTTTGCTTATGCCTCTTTGATTGTGGCTATATAACTTTTCCTATTATCTCTTAATGAGGGTACAGCTCTAAAACTCAGTTTAATGGTTCTGTGGTAGCTTTCAGAGAGCCTGATTCCATCAACAGTTGCAAAATATCAGAGTATTAACAGTGCCATGTTGCATATGGATGGTGTCTCTGTTAATGCTTTTGGTGTGCATTGTCGAGATAACATAATGAGCCCTTTGTTACAACTTAGGGTTAATTAACAGGACTGAGACAATTGTATAACTCATTCCTTAGAAGGCTGCGAAATCTATGAATGAGTCAAGTTCTTTTAAAACTTAAATTATGCTAAAAGTAATCCAAAACATTAAACATAAAAAACTATCCCCACCACCTAACTATTTTAATATATCTTTTACAAACATTCATGGTCTGCGAAGCAACCTTCCATCAGTTGAACCTTATCTCTTGCAAAATTCACCAGACTTGCTTGCTCTAAGTAAGATTAATTTAAGTTCCATTATTTCTTCTTCAGATCTCTATGTTGATGGGTACTATCCTTTGATTCACAAAGACTCTAATAGTCACATGCTTGGCTTATGGACATACATACGCATCAATTCACCTAATTGTTGCAAAATCAGGTTTGAATCTTTTGACCATTCTTTTATGTGCTTCCGGTTAGCACCTCTTCTCTCTATCACCTTTCTCTTTGTTTTTTATCGTTCTCCTTCTTCCCAAGATTGCACTCTTTTAAATATAATTTCTGATCAAATTGACCATGCTTTTTTCTACTTACCCCTCCGCCAATATTGTAGTTATTGGCATTATATTTTAAATATAATGCCCTCTCTCTTTACCCCATATTATAAATCCAACAAATTAAAAACAACAACAAAACTCAGTTTTTTACTGCAAACAACTATCGCTAAACTGTTGACATTCCTATATTAATGAATGGCAATCCTCTCACTGAGTCTTCTTTATGTCTTCTTAGATAATTGTTTACTACTGAAATTTCATTGAAACTATATATACATTTGATTGCTAAATTCATTAAATTTGTTTCTCTTTATCATGCTTGCCATTTTTTTTACTCCTGATTCCATTCTCAACCTTTACAAATCTTTTATCGGTCCCTATATGGAATACTGTTGTCATATTTGGGCTGGTTCTTCTAATTATGCTCTTTCTCTTCTAGACAAGGTCCAAAAAAGGTGTTATAAACATAGTTGGACCAGCTCTATAAGCTAAGCTTGAGCCTTTTTTCCATTCTTTTAATTTTGCATCTCTTTTTCTTTTCTACAAAAACTGTAAAAAAGAATATCATGAACGCTGCTCAAAGGAGCTATCATCTCTAGTTCCATCAACTAAAACTCATTCTTATTTGACTCATCATTTAACAATATCTCATTTGTATACTGTATCTGTCCCTCTAAAAACTTTTATTCATCTAGTTTTTTCTCTGTACTTCAACTCTTTGGATCTCGCATCTTCATGTTTTACTGACTCATACAACTTTCAACTTTTCAAGTCTTCTGTCAATCGTTTCCTTGCTCTATAACTCTATTATTTTATTCTAGTAACTCCCAATTTAATAGCGGATGCTTGCAGCCTTATTGGGTACCATTTCAGAATAAAAAAATAAGAAAATTATTGTAATTAGTAATTACCTAAGATAATTTAATTTTTAATTTAATTAATGAACCACTTAATTTATTAAAAACTAATTATGATAAATGATTAAAATAATTTTAAATACCTGCTCTTCTGATTTCTGTACTGAAGAACTTTTACTCTGTAAATCAAATAAAAGCTGGTCTTGTTTAAAGATCTTTTCAGATAAAGCTTGCTTTTCCTTGTCACATTCACTAATCTCATCTTGAAGTTTTTTTATTAGCAAATCTTTTTCATGGATCATTAAATCTATATATATATATATATATATATATATATATATATATATATATATATATATATATATATATATATATATATATATATATATATATATATATATATATATATACATATATATATATATATATATATATATATATATATATATATATATATATATATATATATATATATATATATATATATATATATATATATATATATATATATATATTTATATATATATATATATATATATATATATATATATATATATATATATATATATATATATATATATATATATATATACAGGCTTGGACAGGAATGGCGTGCAATCGCTAGTAAGTGACTGGGGTTGATATTTGACCGAGGCTGGGTTTGATAGAACATAGCTGGGGCCGGGTTTGTGACTGGGGCTGCATAAACATTTATACATCCTAGGTATATTTTTTTCAAAATTCATGTTATATTTTGTATATATATGCATATATAAAAATCATTATGATCAACATGACCATCATAATCATAAATACCATCATCATGATCATGATGATGATCATCATCTTCATTATCATCATCATCATCATCATCATCATCATCATCATCATCAGGCTTAAGCCTTCCTCTTTTATTCTGTTTCTTTAATATAAACAATCTAGAGCATTTTTTTTTCTTAACTAACGCTCATTCATACAATATGTAAAGCACTCTCTTCAAGTTTTCTTACTTTTACCATTTTCAACTGAAGCCTCTCCACATACTAATACCTAAATCAATTTATTACTTTCTAACAAGCGTTGTTCAATACAACGTTTTTTCTAATCTGTCTAAGATTATGCCTCCTTTTCTTGTCTTGCTAGAGTCACACCACACATCCATCTGATCCTCTTCTCTTGCAGCAAATACGACACCATATAAAAACTAAAGTTTATATAACAATGAAAGGATATTGTATGCCAACATCTAAATAAATAGCAAACATATATGTTTATATCCATAATATGTATACATAAAGCAAATCTTGGAAGCTTTTATTCCTTCTCTTCAATTTTAAGTCAAGCCTCATTCTTCTCCACATTTTTCACCATCTTGAGCAGTTGTTTTATTAAACATTCTTTTTTTTTCAAATTTTTTACAAAAACATCTCTTTTAAGAACAAATGTCCTTTTTATTATTGCAAGAAGCCAATGTAAAAAAGTCCTGTTTCATGTTAAGCTCTCTCAGTTTACTAAATTTTGTAAAGTTCTTCTCAGTTTACTAAATTTTGTCTCAGATCTTATCTAATTTATCTCAGATGTTAGGTTTTAGAGACTTTGGATAGTCTTCAACAGTGTCATTAATTAAAGTCTAACATTTAATCTCTAATTCATGGATCTTTTTTTGCAAAGAAATCCTACTCTAATTTGACTCTTAAATATAATTGCCATACTCTTCCTGACAGTTAAACAGATTAACCCATTGTTAAACATCAAAATCACTCTGGCTTCTAATGCTAAAGTTAGTTCTCAATCAAACACTTCTACAGTTTGGTCTCCAGACAAGATTTCCATCATAATCTTAAAAAGTGTTTTTCAGAACTCTTTTCAATTTTTGCTAAACTTTTAAAAGTGCTTTAAGGGTACTATAAAGTTCTATCCTTGCTCCTGCATTGTTTCTTATCTACAATAACAAGAACAAGCAGCCGATTTTGAATCTGATCTCTCTTCTGTAACAGCCTAAGGCTTGCAGTGGCTTATGAATTTAAATTCTAGACTTAGAATCTACAATTTTTGTTAGACAACAAAACTCATTTATTTACTGCAAAAAAATATTGCAATATTGTTGGCATTCCTATATTGACAAATAACAACCTTATTCTCAGACAAAGTACATTGTAAATGTAATTAGACCTGCTTTATCTGCCAAGCTTGAGTCACTCTCCCATTATTGTAAGGTTGCGTTTCTTTCTTTTTTCTTTTAATACAATCATGGTCAATGCTCAGAGGAGCTATCATCTCTATAACGATAAACCAAAACTCATTTTTACTTGGCTTTTTATTCAACAAGTTGCATCCTTTTACTGTATCTGTCCCTTCATGTAAAAACTTTTATTAATCCAGTTTTTTTCCTTGAACATCAAAAAAACCTTATAACTCTTACCCATCTTCATATTTTCCTTTTTTATACAACTTACAACTTTTTAAGTCTTCAGTTATACGTTTTCTAGTATTTTAACTTATTCTCTATTTTAAAGTAACTCATGACTTAATAGTGGTTGCTTGCAATCTTGTTGGAAGTAAATTAGAGTTTAAAAATATATAAATGCCAGTATTTAATAAATAGTAAATGTAAGCATAAAATTATAATATATTAAGTATTATAAATTTTTTTCTAGCCTCAACCATCAACCCCTGCTAAATCTTATAATTTTGCTGGGGCCGGGTTTGCAAAAGTCTCATTTTTAGCCTTTGACGGGCCGGTACCCCGGTCACCTACTAACGATTACACGCTGTAGCTTATAATTTTTTTTTTACAATTTGACCACGGCAGTTTTGATGTTTTAACCATTTAAATGCTATAAAAAAATTGTTATGTTATAACTTTCAATTGTTGATCTTTTCTAAAGTTTTTCTTTTATGCAAAGGCTTTAAATAAAATAAAAAATTAATTATAGTTATTGTTTAAAGTAAATACATTTTGTGTAAATTAACAAATGTTATATTTAAATTTTTTTTTAATGTAAGTATGTATATTTTATGATAAACTTAAACATTTAAAACTATTTTTTCATGTCTTTCTAAAAGTTTTTCGAAATAAAATTTTTCAAGTTACTTTATATTATGAAAAACTGAAATTAAATCTTCCATTGAAATGGAATGATTTAATTGTTTTATTTTATTTAATTGTTTCTACTTTTACAAAGATTAGTTCTAAACTTTTTTTTTTAACTTCACTAACTAATTAGTTAGTGAAGTTAAAAAAAAAAGTTTAGAACTAAAAATTAAAAACATAACAAAAAGTAATTTTGCTTTGAGTTTGAGTTTTTTTAGTTTTATTTTAGTGCTTATATATTTTCTTTTTCGAGAGGAAGTGTTTTCTTTTTTCATTATTATTTTTTTGATTTTCTTTCTAGTTTAAGTTTGATAGCATTTATTTTTTTAGCACATTTTTAAAATGCTTCAAAATCATCTAAACATTTACAAAGTCTTGGTCAAGTTGTCAAAAAAAATCAATTGTATATCTACCTATATATACATATAGAGGTAGATATATATTAGAGCGGCCACAAAAATAACATTTTTGAAAATTGTTTACTGTAACTTTACCCCTATATGTGTGTTTGTTTATTAAAAATAACTTTAATAAACAAAAATAACTTGATTTGAAAATTTTTTTCAGGACTGCTTCAAGACCCTTTATTAACTACTCGGTCCCTAATATTTAAAAAAAAAATTCTTAAAAAGTAGGTTAACCTAATAATTGTATAGAAGCAAAATGAAATTTGTGTAAACAAGCAAAATAAAATTGTAACTCCTTAAGATTTGTTCAAAAAAGTTTAATAATAATTTAAAAAAAAAAAATTAATAACAGAAAAAATGAATTGATATTAACAGCTTCACAAAATCTTTTACACAAGAACCAACAAAGAGGAAAACATTTAAATTGAAAAAAAAAAAATGAAATAAACTGAAAATTTAGACAATTAAAAAGCTAACTAAAAAAATATAATTGATAAAAAAAAATCAGAATCATCATCAAAATAATCCTAATGATTTACTAATGAGGAATAAATAAATAATATTTATCTTATTGAAAGCCTTGATAAGCCTTTATCTTATTTATGAACCTTTTCTAAAAGTAAACCTGAGGAAATCTAGGTTTAGTATGCTAAATGCAAATTTAATTATCATAATTATTGTTATTTGCTTAATGTGAATTTAATTGTGAACCTAATTATGATAATTAGCAAATATATTTGTAACTACTCCTAGTATATTAGAATAAAATTAATAGGCTTTAAAAAACTTGTTTTGTTATAAATATATTTTGCTATATGTATATTTTTTGTATATTTACTATAGTAAAGATTTTGTATATTTGAAGATGTATATATATACACACATACATGAGAGAGAACAACTTAATTATTTAACATTGCTTAGTGTATTATATTTCGGTAACATACTCAATTATACTAAGGTGAAAATAGTCAAATATAACCATTATTTTAAAAGTTACCATTTTTGTTCTTTTCATTTTCCAAATCTTCTTTTGATTGATAGACCTCCAAGGTTGTCATACTGTCTCTTAAAAAAATTATATACAAATACATGATATATATATACATATATATATATATATATATATATATATATATATATATATATATATATATATATATATATATATATATATATATATGTATATATATATATATACATATATATATATATATATATATATATATATATATATATATATATATATATATATATATATATATATATATATATATATATATATATATTGTAATTCAAGTCTGAACTTTGCAATCTAACCCTAAAAGCAGGAAAAAAAAAGCTTTTTTAAAGTATATCATGTTGGGTTTCAAAAGAATAGAAATTATATGAAAATTATAAAACCAATTATCAGTTTCTAAAAAAATTATTGTTTTGGATTTTACTGCATAAAAAATGACTTTTAACTAAGAATGAAAAAAGTTCATTTTTATGCATTTTAAAGACTTTTGATGCATATATATAATTTTTTTGTTAAATAGATAATAGATCACATAATGTAGAAACTCAAGAGATGATAAATCACATTATGCAGAATCATAAGCAATGTTAGATCACATTATGCAGAAAAAATTTTCTATAGTAGCAGTTGAGAAGTAAAGGAAAGTGTTTTGCTTCCTGCTATGTTGAGGCGTGATTGATTTTAAGTGAATTTTCTCACCTTATTTTCTTTATATCCTGATGTAGTTGCAATAGTTTTTGTCAAACATGTCATCGCCCTCTTACCAATGTTAAGTGGCTGTTGTTGTTTTTAAGTGCAATGGATATTGTAAAAATTCTCTTTTTTCTTTCTCTAACGTATATCACCACATAAGCATTTAAGTTAGTAGACATTGGGATTACTATTGGCAATTGAGTCAGATTTAATATTGCATAAAATATTTTTAAAGTAAGTGATGTGGTAAAAATTATTTTGATGTTGAGGTTTAAGCCTCTTGTTTCCAAGTATTAGCCCTAGTCTTGGTAACAATGGGAGCCATGGAGTTGTATTGTCTGATTTCTTTTTTATCTTAATTTATACTCAAAAGTTTTTTTTTTTAAGAATATAGTTTAGATTTAACTTTTAATAACCCTATTACAATTTCAATTATCATATTAAGAATTGGACCCCCTATAGACAATTGAGTATTAAAAAACAATTAAAATCTATTTTAATTGGTTTTTGTATGTTTTTAAACGCTTCTGTCTTTAATTTTACATAAATACCTTCACACAGTGGCTTCGTTTATTTGTGGATTGAGTTACAGAGTTAAAGGATTGAGAGAGTAACAATAATAAAAAAATAACAATAAAAAAAAGGTTAGCCTCCTGAAAGAGCCTAAAGAAAAAATTATTTTTATATAAATGATATATATATATAATAAAGCCCCTGAAAATGATTTTTTCAATATGACATTTTTAATAATGTTTTAAGCACAACATTAAACATTGATGCATAAATATATATACATACATACATACATACATACATACATACATACATACATACATACATACATATATATATATATATATATATATATATATATATATATATATATATATATATATATATATATATATATATATAATATATATATATATATATATATATAATACATATGCATCAATAATATTTTATGTATCATAAATTATGTACTATATATACACACATACACACACACACACACACACACACACACACACACACACACACACACACACACACACACACATATATATATATATATATATATATATACATATATACATATATATATATATATATATATATATATATATATATATATACATATATATATATATATATATATATATATATATATATATATATATATATATATATATATATATATATATATATATATTTACATACATACATACATACATACATACATACATACATACATACATACATACATACATACATACATACATACATACATACATACATACATATGTGTGTGTTGTTGAGAATATGGCATTAACAGTAAAATGAAATAAACAAAATTTTAAAAAATACTTAGAAGTTTGAATTTCACACTCAAAGCCTTCATCACAAAGTTGACTAATTGGAAAAGATTTGAACTCCAGATAAGAAGGCTGAAAAAAATAATTAGCTAAAACTTGAAACAAACTTTTTTTTTTACTGCTATAAATTTAGTTTACAAAATTACAAAAACTAAATTAAAAACTTTAAGTAAATTTTTTTGTTTGGTTAATTATAAATTATTTTTTTTTAGTTTAAAAGTATTCACAAGAGTTTTTGCTAAGTTTAATAGTTTTTAGTTTAAAATATAAATATTTCAAAATTTTCAAAAAGAACTCAATACATTTTAAGCAAACAAATGAGTTTATTTATAGGTAAACTCATACAAACAATGAAAAAATATCTTGAAAGAAATATCAGCACCTATTTAGTTTATTACATATTTAAACAATATTTTTATATGACAAATCATATTATGACTACAATAAACAACAAAAACTTTTAGAAATTTTAAATTTGGTTTTCAAATTCAAAATATTTTAAATGAAGTTAACTAAATATTGCAAAAAGTTCATTACCATTAGCAATTAATTGTTCATTTACCTGTAGCAAATATTATTTTACAAACATCTATTTATATACTGTTTCTATGGCAGCCAAAACACAGTTTTAAACTAATTGAATTAAAAAAAAAAAAACAAGTCAAAATAATATACTTTGCAATATTTATTTGCAATATAACATTTTCAATTTTTAAATTTTTATCAAGGAAAAAAAAGTTATTCCTCATAGAGGAGTGTTGAAAATTTCCTTAACAACAAAGATATGTATTATATGTATAGTTGCAACTGAATACTAATTAAGGCTGGTTTTGATATACTGCAACTATCATTTTAACTACAAAAAAAAAATTCTTTCAACATTGTGTAACTCATTTTGTGTTTTACTTGTAAATATTTTACTAATAATATTAATATTTTTATATCAGTTTTTTCCACCTATTGAATATTGGACTTTCTTTAAAAATAGCAAAAGATTTTAAAAACAATATCATTGATTATTATTTTTCATCATTGGGATTCCAAAAACCAGGAAAATTGTTGAAGAAATGAAATTTGAATTGTAGTTTAATAAACTTGAGCATTTAGAAGTGTTTAATTATTCATTATTATTATTATTATTTATTAAATAATAATAATTATTATTATTATTTAACTAGGTAATAAAATGATTCTTTTAAATTGTGCTAGCATGGGGAGGTATCTATAGAAAATATTTATATTGTTTTGAGTTTCCTGGGTTGTCTGCTGGAAAACTAAGTTGCTTAGTTACATTCTTTTATATAATAATAATATTGATTTATATTAAAATCCTTTCAAAAGCAAAATATTAAATATAAAAAACCTAAAAAAAATTTAAAAAAAAAGATATATGTATCTTTTTTAAAAGATTTTTTTGTAAAATCACAAGATATGATAATTCACATTATGTAGAAAAAAAAAAAGATATATGTATCTTATAAAAAAATTGAAAAATTGAAAAAAAAAAAAATATGTATCTTCCTTTGACTTTTAAACTTTTTTAAATGATTTTTTAAGCTATAAAATTTTAAAATTCAAAAGTGAATAAAAAAATTTTGAGAATAAAAATTGTTCTTCAAATTAAAATAACTTTGTTGACATAATTATAAATTCTATTGCATATTTAGTGCTGTCATTCTACTACATGTTAGTGTTGTCAATAGTATTATACTTTAAATTTCAAATAAAGAAATATTCTTTAAATTAAATGTATGAATTAATAGTCATACCAATCTAAAAGTTAAACTGAGTTTAATTATAAAAAATGCTAGGTAAATAATTTTGTTTTTGATAGGCCCAAAATTATTAAACAATTTTTTATAATTTATAACCATTGACAAGTTCATACCTGAATAGATTTATTTTTAAATAAACTAATAAATATGTTAACATCTGATTGCAGCTTGTCATTGTGTAAATTTAGTTCCACATTTTCTTTTTCAAGTTTCTGTAGAAAATTTAAATGAAAAGAATATCATTGAAATATTAACTATTTTGCAAAATAAAAAGTTTTAAATTAATATATATATATATATATATATATATATATATATATATATATATAATATATATATATATATATATATATATATATATATATATAGGGGAAGTGGGGGCATAACCGTATATGAAGGCACAACCGTTTTTTAACATTTCCTTATGAAAAATAATATGGCAAAAAACATACCACACTTTAGAAAAACAGTTTCCTTTATTTCGCTTATGTCAAAAAGAATGCCTGCTACTTTTCTGAGAAGTTGTACATAATATTTTGATAAAAATAATATTTTTACATAATATTTTTCCAGACCTTTATTTTGAGGATTAAGCAATATTTGATTTTAGTGTTAAAGATATATGTTATCAGCATTATTTCTTCATGTGAAAATCATTTTTGATATCAACATAACCTAATAAGCAAGCTATGAAACTGTATTCTTTCTAAAAACTGTCCTCTGGGACAGAACTGGCACAACAGCATACTTTTAATATTTATCAAAGTTAGGTAATTACGAATAATTACAATCGTCGAATAATTACGATCGAATAATTACAATCGTCACACTTAAATGTGTTTATATAAAAACTTGAATAAAAATAGTTTTATTTTGAGATATTGGAAATTAGATTTCTTTTCTTTTTTATTTAATTTTTCTAAATAAGTTTTTGAATAAAATATAAAGCTAAGAGTATATCGATGTCTACACAGTATACAAACGTGCAACAAAATCAACAAATAATCTGAGCTGTGACAATTGTAAAGAAAATGTACCAAGAAAAGTGTACACCCGACAATTTTTGTGAGGGTGCAGTTGTGCCTCACAATGGGGGCAAAACCATTTTTTCACAAAGTCTAATTTTTGTTTATTACAAAAATTTAAAGCTTAATGATGTGGTTATTGAAATAAACTGTTAAAAAAAACACATTTCGTTTTTATTTTTATATAACATTAATCCAAATGTTACGGGGGTACTTTCTCTATATATATACAGCCCTCGAAATTAGGTTCAGCATTTGTCAATGCCAACCTAACTGCCAAGGTGGAAGTGTTTTTGGTGAGCAAAAAATAAGTGGCCTTGTTTTTATGTTTTATGGTAAAACCTTTGTATCCAGCTTTTTTTGCCGACCTCTAGCAGATATATATATATATATATATATATATATATATATGTATATATATATATATATATATATATATATATATACACATATATACATATATACATATGTATATATACATATATATATATATATATATATATATACATACATATATATGTGTGTATGTGTGTGTGTGTGTGTGTGTGTGTGTGTGTGTGTGTGTGTGTGTGTGTGTGTTTAAACAATTTTAAAAGTGTATTCTACAAAATAGAGTGCTCAATGTTCCTAAAATAACAGAACAATTATAAATTAGTAGAAAATCACTTAACAAAAATTTTTTTCATTTTACACTGTGTTTCATCAATAAAGACTCATCAGAGTCAGAAATCAGAAATTTTTGTAATTATTAATAACAAAAAAAAACATTTTTTTGTTATTAATAATTACAATAGTAATTAGAAGTAATTTAAAAAAATCTATTTCATGATTATTAAGTAATTAAGTAATTAGTCTCTAAAGGAACCAAAAAACTTAGAATATTGGAAATTTCTAGAAGTATATAAATTGTATAAATATTATATAAATTATTAGCAAAGTTTAACAATTACCTAATTAGTTCTAAATAGTCTAATTATTTCTAATTACTTAATTATGCAATATTATACAGATATTAAAGAACTTACATTTACACCAGCCCTTAAAATCAGAAAAAATAAATTCAGTTTATGGTCAGCAATTTATTGCTGACACTATTTTGACTAATTTTTGTCAACGCTTTTTGTCGACAATTTGATTGGCACAAAATTTTCAACAAAAAAAGTTTTACCCTAACAACATAGAAACAAGAACACTTTTAGGTTCGGAGTTAGGTTGACATTGTTGAAGTTTGACCCTATTTCCAAGGGTTGCATACATAGATATATATTTATACAAACATAAATATACATTTTAGATACTTAGACACATCAACTGATAGGTTAAAGTGTGAACAGGTAGTACATAGCAGAGAAGAGTAGTTGCAGACTCCAAAGAACCTGTCTTTATTGTAGAGAAACCTGTATTTATTGTATGAATTAGTAATTAACTTTTTTTACTATTCTCACGGAAATTTATATTAACAGATTTTTAATTTCTCTTTATAAATCTTAGAGATATAACTAAAGTAAGCATCCAAAAATATCATATAAGAAAAATGGGTTCCATAATTAATAAAGAGGAAAATGTACTTTTTTTCTGTGCATTTAGAATTAATTTATTAATAAAATATTGTCAAGTTTATTTATAGCGAAGAATTTATTCCAATACTTATCATATATTACGTTTTTTTATTAAAATGAACTGTGGATATGTTTCAGAAATTCATCATCAATCTTTTTTTTTGATCTTTTTTTATTTGGGTTTTCTATAAAGTAGTGTTGCCTTAAACAGGTTTGTTCACAACTAAATGAAAATATTTATTGTGAAAATGAAGTGAAAGATGAAAGAAATACAAATAAAGTTGATCAAGTTGAAAACACTAAACAATTGGTTGATGCAAAATATCTTGTGTTTGATTTTGGAAAAGATTTTAAAGTTTTAGATGTTGAAAATAAATATGATGTAAATTTTGTTTTACTATATGTTTTACTATATTATATTTAGCATCTGTTACCAGACACTTTTTTTTTTAATTTTCAATTTTTTAATTTCACCGACAAGTCACAGATGAGTAGGCTACTTATTTGTGGATTTAACCCTCTCTCAAACTCTATAACTCCAAATCACGAACCTTGACGAACAAGGCTATTACAATTATATTACAATTAATTTATATTCATATAAATTAATGTAATATAATTACATTAATTTATATGAATACAATTATATGAATTTGTGTTGAATATTTGTTGTTTAAAAAAAATAAAATATGTTGTTTAAACAATGGAGTTGCAATGAATGAAAATAAACAATATTTATGTTGGTTTGGTGTCTGAGACTGAAAAGGTAAGTTTTTTTTTGAAAAAACTTAATTCTTTTTTCTTCTATTCAATAGAAAATGATTATTTTAAATATGTTACAAAAGTCTGTTAAACCTTAAACTCTTACAAGATAAATGGTTCCCTTACTCTAAACTAAAAGGTTATGAGTCAGGCACTCAACATTAATATTTGTTATTATTAAGCCATTTCGTAAATTTTCTTCTACGCTCTAAATTAACTCCCACTGTTCTCAATGTTGTTCCTTGCATTCTATCTGCTGATTCTCAATGTTTGTCAGAAAGAAATTAGCAATTGGAGAACCTCTTTGCGTGGTGAAGAAGCACTAAGAGAATATGATGTAATGATGGCAGATGCTGAAAATATAATTCCAAAGGAATCTTTTCAAGCTATAACTAAAAGTGATTTTTATCAAGATATTGTTAAAAATGTTAAATATATTTACAATAATTACAAAAACAGGTTGTCAGAGTTTCTAGTTACTTAAACTCTGTTTACAAATATTAGATTTTTTTTTAGCTTAATAACCAATAATGTTTCAAGGTCTGGAGCTGTCTTAAGTATGACAGATTCAGAATTTCGAAAAGGAACTTTTTCACCAACAGGAAGCTTTATCATTTTAGTGAGGAAACATAAAACCACTAAACAATATGGTCCATGTCAAATTATATTAAACCTTGATCTAAAAATTATGTGTGATTGTTATGATCAAATTATACATAATACTATTCCAGATAAAATGTCAGAAAACTTTTTGATAACGTGGTCTGGGTGTGCGTTTGAATCTGGCAGTATTTCAACCCAAATAAATTCTTTTTTTTTCAAAATTTTTACTAAATGAAGGTTCAATTGAAAATCGATGCAGTGCTACGATGGTTCGAAAAAGTCTGCTTTTTTTTTTTATGACAATCATCCTGAATATAAAAGTAAGTTAGCAACCCTTATGAAACGTAAAGAAACAACAGCCCAACGGTGGTATTACCTAAACAAAAACAAACAAGATACATGCGAGGCATCTGAAAAAGTTACTGAAACTTTATTTGGAGACATCAAAGTTGAATCAAAAGCACAAAGTCTAAAATCAGAAGTTTCCCTAAATCATCATAAATGTTAACCAATATTAAAAAAAAAAATTTTACATTCTGAATAAAATCAAGTTTCTGAATGTTCAAATTTCTCTGAAACTAGTGATGTTAGTGATTGTGATGAGGAATACAATTTTCAATGTAATTCATATTCAATACATGCAAAAAAAAGTTGGACAACAGATGAAATAAATGAATAACATAAACTATTTAATATTTTTGATACTATGACATTAACTCAACCTTTAATACGGAAAGTTGTTGCAGAAAATGAAATTCTGAAATTTCGATCTCCTAAACAAATATATGATAAACTGCTTCTTTTAAGAAAATGCAAAGTACAAAATGAAAATGAGGAAAAACAGTGTTTGAAGTTTTCATTTAATACAGAGTAATTAAAAATGATAAGAAAATTATTTTCCTCTACAATATCTGGCCACCATAATGTTGTTTGACAAGCAAATGTGACAAGCATAATAAATCAAAACAGTGAAGCTCAAGATTTATTTAAAATTTTTACTGCTGAGACGATTGTCGCTAAAGTTACTTTAAGTGCGTTATGAAAAAAAGAAGTTTTGATATAGAAAACTCTAACTTTTAAATTTTGCATATATATGTATATATATATATATATATATATATATATATATATATATATATATATATATATATATATATATATATATATATATATATATATATATATATATATATATATAGGTCTTGTTTTAAATAAAAAAGTGCTCAATGCATTAGCTTAACGCGATTTTGACGTCATAAAATT